GAGAAACATTATGTTCCAGACTCTACAAACAATTCAGAAAGAGCACAGAGCTGGAGAAGTAGTCAGGGGGTAAGTTATGAGAGACTTAAATCATGCTTAGTTTGCCTTGAAGGCTATAGAGAATCACTATAGCATGTTAAGAAAATCTGGGGATGAACAGAATTAGACTTGCATTTCATATTTTTATTTTCAATTAGAAAGTGTGGTCTGATTATAGGATATCTACTTGTGGATAGCTGAATGGAAATATATGTGTAAGAGAATGCATATTCCTTCCCATGTCCCCAGCACTATAAGGGGCAGTTCTTGTGTAAATGCTCTGGGGACTCCAAGAAGTGGCCTGATAGTGGGCTTGCAGTGATCTTCCCTCTTGTGTAAAGAGTGAGTCTCACCAGAAGCAGGAGCTTGTATGCTGTGCCAGTCACCTCAGTCCTGCAATTTGAGTGCCACAGCCCTCTGACCAGAGTCAGAATGAAAGGCAAGAAAAAGGGATTTCTAGCTCCACCTGTGGTGGGGAACAAGCTAGATGGCTCTCACATGAAAGGCAGAAAAATGACTTTATCATGTGCAGAAAGAAAGAGCTTGGAAGGAAGGGAACCAGGCAGATTGCCTACAAATTTATAACTGCTCTTTGGAGATGAAAATTTCTTCTTAGGAGAATAGGAACTTAAAGAGTAGCTAAACAAATGAATGAAGTTATTGTTGTTTATATTGCCTTGATTATTTCATTTTTATTCTCTCTTAGATTCTGGTAAAGATCATTCTGAAAATTCTAGGTTGGTTGGACATGGTAAAGAGCCAAGGACTTTTTTTTTTTCAGGAGTGAGGGGGTGCAGTCAGTTGACAATGACCCCTGGGAAACCGAAGTGAGAATTTGAGATGAAATTCAAGGGGAAATATTTTGGTTGGGTTTACTTGGCCACGGTGTCTCTTGACCTAGAGATTCTCCTTCCTGGGGTGTGCTCTGGTCATACTTTACATAGCTATACTATTTTTTTAATCCCCCCTGAGGTGCTTTAATCAAACAGAGTGGTAGGGAAGTGCTCCATCAATGAACTGCATCCCCAGCACTAGTTCTTTGTCTTAATGTGACCATATTGTCATGAGGCTATTCTCATCAAAACATGAACAGTAGATTGGGGCTGGAGTTGTGGCTGGAGTTGTGGCTCAGTGGTAGAGCGCTCGCCTAGCATGGGTGAGGTACTGGGTTTGATCCTCAGCACCACATAAAAAATAAATAAATAAAGGTATTGTTTCCATCTACAACAACAAAAAAAAAAATTGAAAAGAAACATGAACAGTAGAAATACTGCTAGAATAAATCCTAATCTTCTAAAAGAGATGTCTTCCTGGGATCCAGATTTTGAACATATATACAGTTTATAATTGCAGTTTAATCTTTCAGTCCTTTCCATCTACACACTCAGCACTCAGAACAGAAAATGAGAAGTCAACCACTTATTTATTAAGGGCATCTACACATTAGGATCAGTACTGGACTTTACACAGATTCAAACATTAATTATATAAAGGTGGAAAGGGGTTGATCCCTTTCCTGGCTAGCCCAAGGGTCATGGTTGGCACCCCCATAACAGGTTAACAAGAAAAAAAAAAAAACATAACAAATTTATTTGACCATGGTTTTTCCTTGACATGGGAGTCTTCAGATTGAGGACCAAAGGTATAAGGGAAACTCTGATTTTATGGTTAGGTTTGATGGAGCAGGGGCAGTCCCATAGAAATATGGCTGGACAACAACTGTCTGAACTCACAGAAACAGACCAAATGGAGAAACTCAGTAAGGCCTGTTTAGATTCCTCTTGGCCCTCAATTGCAGTAAATTCTTCCTCCCAGAGATGGGGCAGGACCCCTGTAAAATGAGAGTCTCATGTCATATAATCAAACAAGCTAGGTCAGATAATGTCCTTATGTTCATCTCACACAGAAAGGTATATTATTAATGATTTTTTAATGGCTAGCTTTGGGGAAAAGGAGTTCTGGTTTCAATGACCTCAGGGAAGGGAAATTCTAGTTTCTAAGGCTAGCCTTGGAGAAGACTGAAGGGTGAGAGACAGGAGGGCAAAGGGCAGAGAGAAACTGCTTCTGGGGCTGCTTTTGAGGTCTTCATTTTGGAGTGTTGTTTTCTGAGTTCCAATAATTGTTAACCTTGTGGTCATGGCCATTGTCAATTAAAATTATTTGTGCGCTAACACACCATCTGTCAAGTTATCAGTAATAAAATTTAAGGTTCAACTATTCCACTTCTGTTCACTGTTATCTTGCTTTCTCTCAGGGGCAAATATTAAGGCTTGACAACATTTATTGATCTATCATTACGCTTTGTTCTGTGAATCTATTTATGGGCCACATTGTAAGATCTCAGCATAAGTTCTTAGCTGTAACTGCTTCTTCAAATGCTATTTCTCAGCATTGCCAGAATGAGCGATAAAAACAGCCTTTTCAGATTCTAATTTTAAGAGTAAAACTGGGCTATGTTTTAACTTTATCATCATGTCTAAATCATATGACTCATAAATCACATGAAAACCTTTGTCCATAACAAAAAGGAATATAAGCTACGTCTCCTGCATGGCATCATCATCCATTCAAAAAATATTTGTTCAGTATCTACTATACATCAGAGACAGTAACAGACACTGGAGATGTTAAGAGTGAACTAAACAAAGTTCTGCTGTCATGGAGCTTACATTCCAGTGGGAGTAGAGAATTAAACAGATATGTAGGTGTTGCTAAGAGCTGAGAAGTGAGGAGATGCCGGAGGGAATCAGGAAAGGTGGCATGAAGAAAGAGAGAGCCAGTTGTGCCAATAGTTAAGAGAGAGTCTGCCAGACAGAGGGACTTGCAGAGGCTTCACAGGCAGAGGTTGGAGTAAAGACAGAAGAGGAAGTAGTTCAGCCTGGCAGAGCTGCAAGAGAAAGTGCAAGTGGCGGGAACCTAGGCTAGCAGCAGGAAGCCAGATCACAAGGGATGTTTTGATTGCTTTTACTGGAGTGATGGGACAAATAAGCTGAAAATCCAGATTAACAAATCAAATGGGATAGGATTCAGGATGGAACAAACAATATGTTTAACACGGAGAGTGGGGGACTAGAAAAAGGATGTATGGGAATTCCTATATCTTAATTTAAGATTCATTTTTTACTACAATTATAAGCTGATTTGATTGCAATGTTTTTCTGACTTTTCTTATTATAAGCACAAAAGAAAAATATTGAATTCAAATTCCAAAACTGAACAACTAACTGCGAGCAGGAAGAAAAGAAAAACTATAAAAAGAATGTCATTTGCTTTTAATGTGCAAAATATTTTAATGTGCACAAATATTAACACTGAAAAGGCAAATAAGAGCTGAAAGGTTCTACCAAATTCCAGAAATTCAGGCTATGGGTTTACACACACTATCTTTTGAGGTTAAAGATAATGCTGCTGAAGTAATTTTTGTCTTGAGTGTAGGTGTCATTGTATAGGGTTGGCTCTGATTTAAAAAATAATAATAAAAATGTATCCTATGCTTTGTGGTTGGAGCCTGCCTAGATAGAAACAATTTGTGATGTATCTCCTTCTTGATTGTAACAATATTAAATTGCCCCATCTACTTTCCCATTGAACTAGCAGTTCACGTCAATGCTTTATGATTTTACATTATGTTGCTTTTTCTAACCACTTTCCCAAGAGGGCATGCACAAAACATCCCTACATAGATCTCCCAGGCACCCCAGGCTGCTACCACAATTTGGTTATGTTATTCAATTATCAGTCTTCTGGACCACTTGCTTTGCATTGGGTTTTTATTATGGAGACATACTACAGATCTCTTGAGAAATATTCGGCCATCACAGACAGCATACAGACGGGTCAGAGTAGCAAACACCAAATATGCAAAAGATGAAAATATAAATTACTTTGAGAACCAAAAGCAGGTAGGCACTTTTTTTTTAAACACATCACTCTGAGAATAATAAAGGAAGCCCTTTCTTTCTTTATCCACTCTGAGCTCCCCAGGGACAAGGACCATAGCTATTTTGTTCAAACCTAATGATGAGGTAATATATAGATAAAGCACTTTAGTTAGGTGTTTGACATATAGAAATATAAATTATTATTGTTCCCAGCACCTAGCACGTAGGAGTTCAATATTCGTTTGCTAGAGAACTGAATAAGTAAACCACATCTTCAGATTCTTCGTATCCCACCCCTAGAAACCAATGATGTGGTCATAGTGTTGCGATCATAATTGCAGTGGCACAAATCTACTACCTAGAGCACAATAATTATAAGATCATTGCAAGGAGAAGAGTTACAGGGGCTGGAGAAGAGACAACTCTTGGTGAGTTCTCTCAATGCTCTGACACAGCACAGGCCGGCTCTCTGATCGCCTTCCAGCCCTGCAGAGGGACCTCTTTCTAAACTTCCACCCCCAGGAATTCCCCTTTCCCGGGTTTCAAGGGACCAGGAACAACCGGAATCTTTGTTAGGTCCGCCTCCCACTCCCCCGCCCCCCCGCCCGGCGGCCTGCCTTCACTAGAGCCCCGCCCAGCCTGACGTCCTCCCCCTCCCCCCAGCGAGCTCGGGTCGCAGCAGCTGGCGCCCTCCACTCCTCTCCCAGCTCCCCTCCTCCCCCTAACCCGCTCCAGCCGTCAGCCAGCGACCCGCGGGGTAACAAGAAGCCGCCAATCCGCCGGCGACCCCGGCCTTTCCCCGCACGCAGCCCGGAGAGGGGGCGGGGCTCGGCGGGGGCGGGGCTCGGCGGGGGCGGGGCCTGGCGGGCGGGCGGGGGCGGGACGGCAGCCGCCTGCCCTGCGCCGGGACTGACGGGTGAGCGGGTCCCCGACCCCCACCCACTCGCCCGTGCGCCGCCCCCTCCCCGGCCGCGCGAGGAGTTTGGCCCGGCCTGGCGCAGCCTGACGGAGGGGAGTGGCTCTCTCCCGGCCGGCCGGCGCCGGGGGTGAGGGTGCCGGGAAGGGGCTGGGGGCGCGCGAGGGGCCGTGCATCCCTCGGCTCGGCTCGCCGGCCCCCGCCCCTCGCCTGCTGTCCTCCTCGGGCCTGGCCGCCCCGCCCCGCCGTGACCCCCGGCCGCCCCGGGAGCCCGACGCGGTAAGTGCGACTTCTTCCTCGGCGTCGGGGAGGACCGGGCCCGCTCCCCGCCCCAACGCGACCCTAGCGCCGGCCCCGGCGGTCCGCAGCGCGCTCCGGGAGGCGGCCGGGAGGCACCGTGGCGCGGAGCGGGTGGGCCAGGCTGCGCCTCCCCGAGCCGCTCGCGGGACTCGAACCCTGGCCCGGCCCCGCCGCTGGTGCCCTGGACCCCCGGCCCGGGCCGCCCTGGAGTTGTTCAAAGTTCTCCACGCGGCGTTGGTGGCCCGCCGGTGAGGAGCGGACTGCAGTTCCCAACCACTGCTGCTTTTTCGGACAGTTACCACCAATAAAACAAACGAAAACGTTTCGGATTTCCCCCTTAATTGTTACCTGCAGACAGTCACACCTAAGTTTTTAAGTTTTCCCTTTATGTACTAGCCTCACCCCGGGGGTGGAGTATGAGAAAGGAACTGTATTCTGATAGGACTCCCTGTGGTTGGTTGGAACTTGCATTTAGGCATTTATTTCAGTGCATATTCTGGAATTAGAAGCTGGAGGGAAAGTTTATCGTGTCAAAGAGTAAATCTTTACTGTCGTCTTTATTTTCGTTTCGTTTAATCCTGAAAAACATTCTCGAGGGTTGATACAGTCACAAAATCCACAAAGTATAAAAGGGATATTCAAAGCCTCTCTCCCCACCCAAGTTGGGCACCCGCACAATATTTCAATTTCCTGTATATCCCTTCAGAGATTATGTACTTGGGGATGCCTCTTCTGCTTCCTCTTAAAAGTGGAGTTGCTTTTATGAAATGCCTAGCAGATTTGCTGATGCGCAATAAATGTTAATTTTTCATAGAAAACAGTTTAATAAATCTGCCTTCCGCTCAGGAAACAGTTTAATTCGTCTTTTTTTTTTTTTTTTTTAATTAGACTTGCTGGGAAAAAATAATTTTCTTTTGGCTGTAAGCATTTACAGGTTTGACTGCATAGTGAATGTGTGTGTTCTTTTGGTTTATTGGGACTTAGGTGAATACTTTCACATAAAGTCGAATACATTGACATTTTGGGGTAATGGGGCAGGGAAGGAGAAATCAATATATTGTAAGAGAGGTCTTAATATATATAAAATACAGTTCCAAAAATTCTCTGAAACAATTTATGTATAGTACAATAGGGACAAACAAGCTAAATGAGAAAATTGAGGTGGAGAGAGAAAAAAAAAATACAAAATCAAGGGAAAAGATAATACCAAGCACATACTATGAGGACCTGTACTAGAAGTGAGTCAGTTCAGGTTTGGGGCTTGGTAGGAGCCTGGGGTCTGTGGGGGAACACAATACAAAGTAAACTTCAGTATGTTTCTAATTACAGCATTAAACCAGTTCTGCCTAAGCAAAGCATTTGCTAGTAATGAGCAATGAGAGGAGCATTTTCTCATAGGCCCTAATAAAAAAGAAGATGTGATGCAGTTGACAACATCTTTAAAGAAACAGTTTTGCACAAAAATATTTAATATAGGCCAATAATAGAACTCTAAGGATAAGTTCTCTGAAGGCATTTGATTTATTCATAACCTTTAGAATGATCTGGACCAGGATTTCCTAAACCATGTTCTAGGGAGTGAAAAAGCAGTTGACCTCTTGAAATAAAATTCTGAGTTCAAATAAGTTTAAGATAGCTGGGTTAGACAGAGTCAGTTGTTTTTTACAACAGTTTTTTGAAAGGGTTTCAACGCTAATGTTCAAGTTGACTCTTTAAAGAGGAATATATTTTATAACCATTTCCAAATTTAATGGATGGATTATCTATTCTTCACACAGTTCTTCATGAGTATTTCCTACAACTCAGATTTGATAAGAAGTGGAGAGCAGAAAGTGTGAAGTTAACCAGTATGATGAGGACACCACCGAAGTGAAGATAATCTAAAAAGCCAGAATTTTAATATATTTTGTATCAAAGAAAAAGGTTACTTTCCCCCTGAATTCTTTCATAATTCTTCATTGTTCTGCAAGTTGCCTGTTGGGCCAAATTGTCCTCTTAGATGTCTTTCTCTTCTATGCTTGAAAACGCTGTGAATCAAAGTAGGTTTAAGCAAGTAGAAGTCTTTGGGGGAATGACTTCTTAGTTATTCTTGGAGGTGAATGTGTGATTGGCATGTTATTTTATCACAAACACTGTTTGTACTATTAATTTACTACCAACTTTTAAATTCTGTGATTGTAAAAGACCTTAGAAAGCATGGAACTCAGTATAAAGAGAAAAGATTTAGAATCAGAAAATCTTGGATTGTGCTACTAATGTGCAGGATTGTTTTCGGCAAATTTGTGAACCTCTCTGAATTTGTTTCCTTATTTGTAAGACTGGAGTGATTACAGCACACAATTCATTTATGGAATAAATACTGAGAGCCTGCTAGGTACTGGGTATAGAAAAACAGCTTTAAGAATGCGAATGAAATAATGTGTCATGAATCCCTGTCTAAATTTATTCCAGAGGAGTAGAGATGGCAAGAGTTAGAGCAAAGAATAGCACCTTATCTAAATCTATCTGGTTCTTGAGTTTTAGACCACAAGTACAGAAAGTTGAGAGGATGAGGATTTGTTTTAAAATTTTTGTCTGAATCCCTTCATTTTCTGTATTTGGATTATGAGTTTGGAGAATACGGGACAGATCTATACAAAAGTGATTTCTGAATGATATACCGCTATACAAAATGTTACCATTCTGAAAACAAAGAGAGGGCTAGAACTATTCATTTTCTTCACACCATTTTGAGAGAGATGTTTGATAAGTACTTCAGGCAAGGTATATATTATGCTGTAGGAATTAAAGACCCTCACATCCTACCGGTTTGAAACAACACAGATTTATTTCTGTCTTATGTCCAGTGAAGGGCAACACTAGAGCTTTCTGCTCCAGGTAGTCATTTGGAACCCCAGGATGTCAGGCTCCATCTCAACACAATTCTTCCACAGTTGTTAAGGGAAAAGGATGTGGTGAATGATTGTACATTGGCTCCAAAGGCTTCTACTTGAAAGTGAAAGGGTAGCATGTCATTTCATTGGCCAGACAAATATATGACTACACCTAACTTCAACAAAGTGGGGAAATGCAATTTTACCATGCACCCAGGAAGAAGAGAACCAAAATAGTCTATGAACAATTTTAATGAGTGCTTACTAGTCATTAAACTGTGGGCTATGGGCTTCATAGTTCTAAGAGTTAACACAGACCTGTGGGGCATATCTATAATCCCATCTACTCAGGAATTTGAGGCAGGAGGATTGCTAGTTTGAGGCCAGCCTGGACAATTTAGCAAGACAAATAAAATAACAAATAAAAAGAGCTGGGAATGTACTCAGTGGCAGAGTGCCCCTGGGTTCAATAGCCAGTGCTGCAAACAACCCAAAACAAGAAGCTGAATAAGTCAAATCCAAATTACATTTTTGTATTCTGTTTAAGAAATAGGAAACAGTATTTCTTTGTGTATGTATGTGTGTGTTTAAACAGAATTATGCTAAGAATTATAAAGAACATCTTTTATGAAATTCTGTTGAAAACTCCACAATTAGATGTACTGTTTTGATCAAGTGAATTTCATTCTTTTTTAATTGTATATCTATTCAGTAATCATTTGTTACATGCATATAAGGCACTGTGTTAGGTCCTGTGAGGATAAAAAGATGAATTAGGGAGTTCACAACTCTAATAGAAAATAGCTCTAATTTGAGTTCTCTCTCTCTTTCTCTTTAAAACAACATTAATAGAATTTTTCAGCATGTTAAAATCTGATAGAATCTGTGTGTGTGTGTGTGTGTATTATACTTTGTCCCCCTGCCTTGTTTTCGTCTAAAGATTATTTCCTGACAAGTTACATAACAAACTACTTAAACTAGCTTAAGCAAAAAAGATTGTTGCATTAGAAAAGGAATATAGCTTTCTGTTTTCAAGGTAACTGACGTCAGTAACAGAAATTTAGGAGCTAGAGCTATTTTCTCATTCTCCAGTTCTATACACTTTCTTGACAGTACGTCTTTCTTCACATATGTGTCTTTGTTTTATTTCTCCATTCACTAATTTTTCTGTGTTTTGTTGTTACATGGGTGCTTTAACTAAGAGTTTACTCACTTGAAATTAGAGCCTTTGGCAATCCCAGCAAATCTAAAATTTTTGTAAGTGCCCCATCTTGGTTAGCCCTTAAGTTAACCACTATGAGTGTTTATACATAATGGAGTTAGCCCTTATGTATAACAAATTAGGTATTTGGCAACTTTATAGTAAAGAAGGCAGTTCTAATAGCTTGCAATCAAAGCAATCTGAGATTAAAGAAATTTGAGATACTGTCAAAAGTTCTACACAATTAACATTAGCTTGCAAATTCTAGTGGGACAGACTGATAATGATAGGGTAAGAAGGGAGAACTGAAGCTGCCATATAGCAATTATATTCCCTCCCTAAACACTTGCAAATATCATCTCCACTGTAATCTTTTAATTCCTCTCTTTCTCTCCCAAGGTACAGGTGATAAATTGTGAAAACTTTGCAAGTCACCTGCTTTGATTGATATAGGACTCCCTTGCTTCTCCTCATAGCTAATAATGTAGAAAGAAGGGAGCACTTAATATGCTACTTTGCTCTTTTCTGTCATCCAAACTGATCTCCAAGACACTCTTTATCTGGATATTTTTGCATTTTAACATACTATTACCATCTCTCTTCACCAACTTAATCTGTTTTTATTCTCAGTAAATTTCCATTCTTATTCTATTAGCTGTGTGTACTTAGCTTCTGTAGCAAAGTTCCCTTGCGTTCTTTACCTACTCGATATCTCCTTTCTTCCCAGTCTGAAAAGTATCCATAGCTTCACCTCAGCAGATGGCTGAAGGGATGAACTATGGGGAGGTGGTATATGATACCTGGAAGAGGGGATGCCCAGAAAAATAACAACAGAGGAAGGTGAGTAAAACTGTGTATAAGGGGCTGGGGTTGTGGCTCAGTGGTAGAGTATTCGCCTAGCGTGTGTGACGCCCTGGGTTCCATCCTTAGAACCACATAAAAATAAATAAATTTAAAAGAAGGTATTGTGTCCAACTACAACTAAAATAATTAAGTATTTTTTAAAAAATGTGTATGTGATCAAGTGGGATTTGTCAAAGATGTATGTTAGCTAAAGGAGCAAAGGGAAAGTGGGTAGGTTCAGACTGTAGTCTGAATATTTAATATTAAATATTAAATAAACTTAAATATCATTTTAAGATGTTCTTATACTATGCAATGTTCTTACTGCTATGCAGATGAAGGGGTCATCTTAGGTACAACCAAATGTTCAAAGTTAGAAAATTATAGGTTTGTTTACTCAGAAGCCTATCCAGTTGCCAGCAGAGCAGTCTCAGTGTTCCTAATTGGTGGGAGGGATCTTCTCAACAGTTCATGCAGGTGGCTCACAAACCATCTGGGTAGCATCTCAGAAGAAGCTCATCTTAGGTAGGTATAGGAGCTGCCTGGGATTAAAAAAAACTCATGTCTCAATATCATACAACTCTATAAACTTAGCTTCTATGATCCTTGAAAGGATGCTGATTAAAACAACCATCACAGGGAAGTCAAAGCTATAGTTTTCCTCATGAGGTATTTATAGTTACTGAGTTCCCATGCAAATTTACTAATCAGGGAGATCATTTTTACTATTAGCAATGTTGCCAAGTAATGTATTTAACGTATCTAATTCTGTGGATCGCTAGAGTAACAGAACTGAGAGGGTTAAATGAAGGTTAAATGCAGAAGAATTTTGTCAACTCTGCTTATATTTGTATTGTCCATAACCCCTTTTGTTTGGGAAGTAGTCAACAGTGTTTATTTTGCTTATTTTGTTGTAGTGTGTTTTAACTTTTTATCACAGATAAAGTATGAAGTAGAGTGAGAGGAGAGTAAGGCTTGAAAGTTAGGCAAGGACTATTAGATCATTAAAATCCTGGAATTCTATGCCAAAATTCTTGGCTTTTATTATCTTATAGAAGATCAGAAACAAAAGAGTAAAAGTTTTGGGTAGAATAATGTAATCAAGAACTGAGGTTTAGTAAGGCACTTTGACTATGCTGTGGAGAGTGGATAAGACAGGATTTAGACTTAAGGCTGGTTGTTTTATTTCTACTTTTTTTTTTAATATTGCCTTTCTTTGGGCAAGATATTTCTCTGATAAGCAAAAAGAAGTAATACTCAATTCTATGCTCTATAGGATTTTAGAATTGCTGGACAGGTTCTGCATGGTCTTTTGAAAGGGTCTGAACCAGTTTGTCCCTTACTTTATCATCTCCTTTCCCCAACAGAGGTTGAAAGAACTATCCTGAAGGGCGTCTTAAGAATGATGGATTTAACCTAACACTAGGAAATTCTAGCCTGCACTGATTTCCACTGATCTCTGTTGTACTCACTAGCATGTCCCATTTTCCTTTTTGCTGGAGTTAAATTATGAGAGCAATTTATTGGTGGCTTTTAAAAATCATTATTTTTTAGGTTTAGTTTAGGGCAAGCCAGGGAGTTTCTTTAAGGGTTAGCTGGTTTAATTAACATCTGTAATGATAAACCATTTCTAATTATAAGCTGTGTGAGAAATAGTTTTCACATTTTCTCCTCTGTATTTCTTATATTGCTCTTTACTGCCCTTTCCTTACCAGGCTTATGCTGTTATAATAAATATATTGTTTATAAAATCTGATTGGTCCAGCAGCAGAAACAAGTTGATCTATAATTTGATCATTATGTATTCAAAGACTCCAGGCCACTTTGATTGGTATATTTGTGCCTAGAGAGTACCAATTGATTACCTTTTCCACCTACATCACCATAAAGCTACGTGGAAGACAGAAATACTTCTGGATTTGATTCAGGTCAGTAAGATAAAATTATGGTTATCCAGACTATTTCTTTTTATGTCATATAAGACAGCTAGGTATCTTAGCATATGCCAAAGATAATGCATCAGGCAAAAATTTGGCATTGTTTTCCCACTGCCTTTTGATATTATCAGTGTCCATCCTTGTGCAACAGCAAATATATATTTATATTCATAAAATCTAAGGAGTGGTGGCAAGAAACTTTTCTTTCTTTACCAGTAACCAAACCAAAGGGCTTTTTATTTTTGCTTAAGATTGAACCCAGGAGGCTGGGGTTGTGTCTCAGTGGTAGAGTGCTCACCTTCCAGGTGCGAGGCACTGGGTTCAATCCTCAGCACCACCTAAAAATAAGTAAAGTAAAGGTAGTGTCTCTAACTTCAATAAAAATATATATATATTAAAAAAAGAAAGAAAAAGATTGAACCCAGGGTTTTGTAAGTACCACACCCTGCCTGGCCAGCCCTATAGGGCTATTTTCAAAAGAAATCATTTTTTATAATCATAGTTATTAAAGTATCAATTCCAACAATGTTTTATAGATGAGCTAAGGGGGAAAGGCTCATTAATTTAGCCAATTTTTAAAAATGTTTCTTGTTTTACTACCAAATACTAGTGTACATATTTGAGGAATGAAAAAAGATACTTCTGATACTATGGTTTAGCACTGTGCTCTATAGGAAATAGTGATAAAAATCAGTATGGAGACAAGTGGGGGGGAAATATGTGAGGCACTTGTATTTGGTGAATAAATACCATTTGGGCATTAATTTCAACTATGATGAACTGAACAGTATTTTCTGATATAAGAAATGTAAGCCAGGCGTGGTGGTGCACGCCTGTAATTCCAGCAGCTCTGGAGGCTGAGACGGGAGGATTGCGAGTTCAAAGGCAGCTTCAGCAAAAGCAAGGCACTAAGCAACTCAGTGAGACCCTGTCTCTAAATAAAATACAAAATAAGGCTGGGCATGTGGCTCAGTGGTCAAGTGCCTCTGAGTTCAATACCTGGTACATCCCACAAAAAAATTAATTTAAAAATGCAAACAATTATATTTAAATCTCGTTAATCAACATAGGACTATATTAAATGAAGCTACATGAACATGTTCCTGATGATCCATAATCCTTAATACAAATATAAAACATTATTATTATTACATTATTGCAGGTGCAAAACATATTATCTAACAATCAACCCTTTTCTTGTAGTGACTCTGTGCAGAATTCCTTCTACCAACAAAGGACATCAGAAAAAGACAGTGGTGTTCAACATTCTTGTTTGTTGGTCCCAAATAGGGATCCTTTGAAACAAGTGACTTGCTTATCGTAATGTAAGCTAGCCAATCACAGAAATTAAAACATTAAATAAGTGGGACCTGTGGGCGCTAGGCAGGACTGGAATTTTCTAGTCAGCAAGCAAATGATAAACAGAAGCTAAAATTGCAGTTAGTTGACCACAGTCCCAGGTTCAAGCAGGTGCTAGACAGTCGCATTCTGAACTTGGGCAGGGGTCGGAAGGGATGAGAATCTATTTCAAAGTCATGCAGACCTACAAGTGCACTCAAACCCAGGATGTAGCTCATCATGACCACTGCTACATCCTGAGTAGGGTACAATTTGTGGGGTTCAAAGTACAGAAAAACAATTTTTATAAGAAAACAGCTTTCATTTCAGTTTCTCAGAAACAGTTCTTGGAACAGTTTTTTTTTCTTTTCTTTTTTTTTTTTTTTTTTTAACAGAAGGCAGCAAAATGGAGTCTTAGGCCTGTCTGACAGTTCTTGCTTTATAATTGTCTTATCTTACTTATCAAAATCTTATAATATATATTTTTTACTAATCTATAACCTATAACTTACACTCTTATTGATTGTATTTATCAGTTCTTACCACAACATTAACCTTATAGAGAAGACACCAAATAAGTAATTTTAGTAAAATAATTGAGCTATCTGAACAAGTAGTTTGAATGCTGTGATCGTATGGTAAGGGAACATAATTTAAAGGATAAAATTTACTTCACTTGCATTTTTCTCCTTGATCGTACAGGTGTATATTACAGTGCTTTTACTTAGGCTATACAAATAAATTAAATCTCTTTATTAGATGGCTTTTACCATGAAACCATATGTCATTTTCACTATATATTAGAGTTCTTGACTGCTAAAACTTCAGTTTACTATGAAGCTTACAAAGCTTAGTTTATTACAGCTGAATTTAAATTTGATGTGTTTATAATTTTAATTTGCTGATTAAACAAAAATAGTACATAATTATTTTTAACAAGTCAACTTAATATTGGGCTAGAAATCTTCCCCCCCACACACACACAGTGCTGGGAATTTGAACTACAGGCCTTGCATGCACTAGACAAGCGTTCTACCATTGAGCCACATCCCCAGCCCTGCATTAAAAATCTGAATTTTGGATTTCAAAGTATATTCTAAGTTTTCCTAATTACCAAAAAAAAAAAAAAAAAAAATGGAACTGAGCTTGGGGGTACACACCTGTAATCCCAGCTACTTGGAAGACTGAATCAGGAGGATCATAAGTTTGAGGCTTATGATCATAAACTTAGGGCTATAAGTTTGAGACTTATTGAGACCACCCTGTCTTAAATATAAATGGCCAGGGATAATGCACTTGCCTGGTATATGGGAATCCCTGGGTTCAATCCCCAGTACTAAAGAAAAAAAAAAGATGGTGCTAGGTGCCATGTGTTTATGGTAACTATGAAACTTTGAAAACAGTGCAAAAATAATCAATGTTAACAGCCCAGCATTTGTTTGCCCATACTTTTCTGATTTCTTAAATGGATTTATTTTTTAAAATATGAGCTAGATTCTGCTCTAGGCCCCTATTTCTAGTGTTAGATATATCATTAAAACTAAGTTTTTCCAGAACAGCATGCAATATCCCTGAAATTCTATCCTTATTAATTTATTTATGTTATTGTTACTATTCTTCCACACACTCAGGTTTGAACAGATACCATCATCTTCATCATTCTTCCTGTCATTTGCCACAGGCATACCATAAGGTCTGTCTCTAATATTTTTTACATTCATT